CTTATCTACTTGGAAAGATGACAAAATCACCTTTCACTGGAACTTGTGAAAGGGGTGAGGGTTTGTTGGGCCTAATACACACTGATGTATGCGGGCCATTCAAAACCGCCACAAGGGATGCTAATCGGTATTATGTGACTTTTATTGATGATTTTAGTAGATATGGTTATGTCTACTTGATCAAACATAAGTCAGAAACCTTTGAAAGGTTTAAGGAATTCAAACAGGAAGTAGAAAATCAATTGGGCAGGAACATTAAGATGCTTCGATCCGATCGAGGTGGTGAGTATCTTAGTACCGAGTTCCTTAACTATCTTAAGGAGTGTGGGATTGTCTCACAATTGACTCCTCCCAGGACATCACAGCTAAATGGTGTAGCTGAGAGGCGTAATCAAACCTTGTTAGACATGGTTCGCTCTATGATGAGTCGAGCTTCGCTACCAATCTCTTTTTGGGGGTATGCCTTAGAGACTGCCGCCCATATCCTTAATCTAGTCCCTACAAAGAAGGTTACCAAAACACCTCATGAGATGTGGACTGGGAAGGTTCCCAATTTAGACCACATCAAGATTTGGGGTTGCGAAGATTTCGTGAGGCGTGAAACTCATGATAAGTTCGAACCCCGAAGTGAAAGGGGTATTTTCATCGGCTACCCACAGAAATCCTTCGGTTACCTCTTCTACAGACCCAGTGAGAATGTGGTCTTTGTAGCAAGAAGAGGGTTCTTTCATGATAGAGAATTTATAAGCCAGGGAGACAGTGGGAGGCAAATTGATCTTGAAGAAATCCAAGAATCAATTGGTGAAGGAACCTCAGACACTAGCAATCAACCTGAGGAGGAAACTCCTGTTGAACCAGCTGACAAGTCTTTACCTCCGATGCGTTCCAGACGGGCTAGGAGCACACCTGAGTTTTATTATGGTTTTCATATTACTACGGAAGGTGATACATTTATCAGTGATAGTACACTGGTAAATTTGGATGAACCTAGTAGTGTTAAGGAAGCCATGGCAGGCTCAGAGTCTGCTAAATGGAAGGAGGCTATGGATAGTGAGATACAGTTCATGTATGACAATCAAGTTTGGAACTTGGTTAACAATGTACCAGGCCGTAAGACAGTCGGGTGCAAATGGATCTTCAAGAAGAAGATCGACATGGAGGGAAAGGTGCATACTTATAAGGCTCGACTGGTTGCGAAGGGTTTTACTCAGACTCAGGGTATTGATTATGATGAAACCTTCTCGCCGGTAGCAAAGATTAAGTCTATTAGGGCTATGCTAGCCATTGCTGCATTTCATGATTATGAAATATGGCAAATGGATGTCAAAACTACTTTTCTTAATGGAAAATTGGCTGAGGATGTGTACATGAATCAGCCAGAGGGTTTTGTCAGTGCAGAGTACCCTAATAGAGTATGAAAGCTTGAGAAATCCATTTATGGATTAAAACAAGCATCTCGTAGTTGGAATCTTTGTTTCGACGAGAAGGTCAAAGAGTTTGGCTTCTCGAGAAGTGACGATGAGTCTTGCGTGTATGTCAGAGCTAGTGGGAGTATAGTTAGCTTCTTGGTACTATATGTAGATGACATACTACTTATAGGAAATGACATCCCAACCTTGCAGGAGGTTAAGTCCTGGCTTGGGAAGTGCTTTGCTATGAAGGACCTAGGGGAAGCTACCTATATCCTAGGGATAAGGATATTAAGAGAAAGGAGTAAAAGACTATTTGGACTTAGTCAGAGTACCTACTTGGATAAGGTGTTGAAAAGGTTCAACATGCAGAATTCCAAGAAAGGAGATTTACCGATCCAAAGCAATACCAAGCTGAGTAAGACTCAGAGTCCGAGTACAGAGGTAGAGTTAGCTGAGATGAGCCAATTACCGTATGCTTCCGCTGTTGGCTCGATCATGTATACTATGACTTGTACTCTCCCTAATGTGGCCTTTGCTTTGAGCATGGTCAACATGTATCAGGGGAACCCTGGCAAGGCTCATTGGACTACAGTAAAGAACATTCTCAAGTACCTGCGGAGGACTAAGGATTGGATCCTTACCCTTGGTGGGAGTGATGACTTGAGAGTATTAGGGTATAGTGATGCTAGTTTTCAGACTGATAGGGATAACTTTCGCTCTCAGTCGGGCTGGGTCTTTACCCTTAATGGAGGGGCAATCTATTGGAAGAGTTCCAAGCAGGAGACAGTGGCTGATTCGACTTGTGAATCCGAGTATATAGCATCGAGTGAAGCAGCGAAGGAGGCGATATGGCTGAAGAACTTCATCGAAGACCTTGGAGTTCTGCCAGCTATTAAGGAGCCTATGAAAATTTTCTGTGACAACAATAGTGCGGTTGCTTTAGCTAAAGAACCGAGAGATCATGGGAGATCCCGACACATTGATAGAAAATATCACTTCACAAGACACAAGATAGAAGAAGGACTCCTCATGGCAAAGAGGATATCGTCGGATGAGAACCCTGCGGATCCCCTTACAAAGGGACTGACGAGGGCTAAGCATTTTCAGCATGCGAGGCGCATCGGGCTGAGGGACGATATTAGTTTTACAGATTAGATAGATTCTCTGAAACTTGTAAAATGTAATCGACATTTGATGATGAATAAAATTGTGATTTATTTATGAGTAAGGTGTTGCTATCATTGTCAATTATTTACAATTGTTTCAGCTTTGCATGTTTTGACTTCAAGAATAATTAATTTATTCAAACCTCCACAATCGGTCATACGTCAGAAGTAGATATGAATCAAGATTGTCATGAATTGGGTTTGTATATGGCTAAAGGTGTTTAGACATGGCAATGGTTGCTACAACGTTCATGAGTACTCATAAGTTATGAGTATTGGAATAAACCCACGCTCACTTGTATCGCTTCATGGAATTTATCTCGAGTGATCGTGAGACGATAATATCATCTAAGTCTTCAAACCTAGAGATATGAGTTGTTACCTATGAGTTGGTTGTGCATTGATTGCACGTAAACGCATCAGTAACTTGATGTTATAAAACGTGCCTTTGTGTACAATTCAACAAGTAGTAGAACAAGCATATGAGTCGAAGTTTATCTGTTCCTTCTAGAAATAGAAGCCATATCTGGGCCCCTCAATGATTTTGTGTTGACCCATGTACCGGGCCCGGTCAGAACTAAATTGATGTGTTCAGTTGAGTTCTTTGTCAAACAAATTGGAAATCAAGAAACAACTGCCAGACAATAAGCAAGACATAGTTCCATGTGTTTGTCCGGCTGATATCATGAGAACAGAGGATTATATGATCACTTATCTCAAAATGGCGCTTCATAGTTCAACAGAGTTTTCGAGAGCTACGATTGTCGGTTGGTTCCTGAAGTAATATAGGCAAATACAGTTATTAGACTTATCCAAGTGGGAGTCTGTTGGATAAGGTGTCTAAGCCCATAACTTATTTGGTATATACTTGACCCGACCCGGCATGGTCCATTTGGGTTGCATTTCATCCAAACTATTTATGGATAATTTTATAAAGAGTTATACACATATGTTTATTAATATATTGTAAGTTATAATATATTAATATGAAGTTATTTAATTAGTGTTAGTCTTAAATTAATTATGAATTAATTTAGAGATTAAAAGGAAGACTAATTAAATTGTGGGCTATTGTTTTATATGGTGTGGGCTAACACTCATTAGTTAATGGGCTAGGCTTATATGGAAGTCCACGGATGATCCATGGAGCTTTTAACCCATGGATCCTTGGAAAAGGAAAGGTCATGGGTTATTAGGGTTTCACCCTAACCATGCACACTATATAAACATGCTTATCTTGCATGAAATGGCTAACTAGAGTATGTGTGTTTGTGTGTGGCCGGAATTATAAGTGTATACACTCTCTCAAAGTTTTCCAAGAGTTTGTGGTGATTTGTGATTCCATTTGAGGCATTCACACTATTGGTGCTTGGCCCTCAAACTCCTTAGGAATCAAACTCATCAAAAAGGTATGTAATCTCATCTAATTCTTTTATGTTTAAAAGTACCCCATGCCATGTTAGATAGGTTATGAACCTTGGAAAATTATTATTTTGCATGTATTTAGACAAACATAGATCCAAGGTTTATTAGGGTTGCATGCACACTTAGGAAGTGTTAGATTGCTCAAAACTCAACAACAAACACATGTCATATATGAAGAATTTGTGAATATTTTCTCAGGCGGTATGTGCAAACATCCTAAAACTCTTGTCTAGTGCATCAGGGGGTGACATATGCTAACATACAAAATACAACAATACATTTTTGAACTGGATCAAAGCCTAACGTACCTCTTGCCTCCAAGCGTTGCTGCATATATTCAGACACTGAACTCACACTTTCTATAATACGCATAAACAAATCTTTATGCATCGAGAACTGTCGATGGAAATAATATCCTTCAAACAGAGTATGATCGTTAAAATAATCATGGATGGGATCTTCTTCGTTTAGGTTGCATATTGCTCTATTCAATGTTGTTAAGATGTTCTAATGTATTACGTATGGAGACGACAGATTGTATCACATTATCAAAAACATCATACGAAGAAGATGAAGACAACATTGTTTTATATAGAAAATACCCAATTTGTGAGAGAAAGAATGAGTTTGTGTGTATGAAATGTTGAGAGTGTGGTTATAGATAGTAGTTGAAATGGACAAAAGTGGGTGAAATTTTAGTGAAAAATTTAATGAATTTGGCTATGGAAATTAATTCATCAATAAATTTTTTTTATTAAATTGTATAAAAGTTGGTGGAAATTTAAATGTGGTCAAAGAAATTAATTTCATTTCTCTCTCCTAGCACTCCATAAATTCTGATTTTTTAAGACAAACACTTAATATTCAAATAAAAAAGGTTACATTAATTTCAAACATAAAATACGATTAAAAATTTAAAACACGACTTACTTCCTAAAACATGACTTAATATTAGACGAAAAACTTAAATTAGAACCGCATCCGATACATAAAAATACTACGTCTTATCCCAATTGTATTCTTTCACAAGATCCTTCTTTGCATTGTTGAAAATCCGACGATCCTCATCAGACAAGTTCTCTCCTGGGGTTAAGAAAAACTTTAGCGCACGATTCCTTTCTTCATCCTTCCCAATTTCAAAAAAAAAAATCCTCAAGCTTAGTGTCCAACCCTTTGATGTCGCTCCTTATCTCCCCTACTTCACTCAATGAACTTTGTGCTCCTTTCATCTTTCTTTTTGCTCTGTCTCGTCCCATAGAACGAGTTGGAACTTCATACGGATCGTCATTGTTGAGGTTAATCCCCCCGATATGCGCATCAGAAGATTGATTGATCGTGGGTTGACTCAGAAGTTTTACTTCATTTGGAAGCGCCCGTGTAATCATCAACACTTTTTAGAGTAAGCCATTTTGGTTTTCCCTTCACAACTCCCCAAAACGTCTCATTGCCAAAAGGTTTTCTGACTTTCATATTGGTGATTTTAGTGTTCACCATGTCATTTTAAGTAACTAGAACTGACATGTGAGCTAAGGGGCTTCATAATTTGTACGCTAATATATGTATTGGGTTGTGTGGAGTGCAAGCATGTATAAGATCGAATTAGAATCTGATTCGACGACTAGTCGTGATGCGGGGTTTCCAAAGGGGCAACGCCCATTTGGCGGGGTCTAGGGGCAGTGCCCCTAGCGGGGTCCAAGGGTTAGAGCCCCTGGCTGGGTGATTATGGTAAAACTAACGAAACTCGTTAGTTTTGGTAATCCTAAATCCCCATTAAATCTGAATTATCCTGACTTGCATCCAAAGCAACTAACGACGTCTCAAACCTAATAAAACTCTAATATTGTTTAATATATAAACGACTCCTCCGTCTCAGAAGAGGGTTACGAAATTTAGCTCTCGATTTCTTCAAACTTTCACATGAATCTTTCTAGCAAATTGGCTTACAATTTCTATGCCTAGAACCCTAAGTGTCCACTTTGATTATCATAGGATGAATTTCTTGCTACCCAGGCATAGGGTAGAAATATCAGTTTAGAAAGTGCTCTCACGATCCAAGTTGGTATTCAGATCTCCACCATAAACCCTATTATTTCTTACATTTCACCTTGTAAATCTGATAAACTTTTGCTAACCCATCCATATCGTTTGCATTGCTTTGTGGGTTTCAGATCGCGTTCATGTAGATGTCATTGAATGTTATTGAGGCTTTGTTGGCGGTCCTCTATTTTGAGTAAAGTTGATCACGATTGTGGTACTGCTTTTTCATTCGATGAAAAAAATTATGCCAAACTCTCGCTTGAAGGTTCTCGAATCTTGGTCATCACCCGTCATCAGATCCTCCAATACATCTAGCCATGCTTACGTGGTGCCCTCTCTTCATCATTTGTCCACCCTTTGCATGGAGCCTTCATTTTTCCTTTATTTTTTCTTGTTGGTTCGACTTTGGACTCTTGAAATGACTCTTGAACGAGCTCTTCAACGAGTCCTTCATCGGAAGAATCGATTGACTTGTCGAGTAGGCGGCGTGTTTGGTATTGAAAATTACTTTGGGGTTGAGGTTGTGAAAACAATTAAGTTTCTTGAACCGTATCAAACGGATCAAGATCCAAATTTGGACGAGGTATTGGTTGAGATTTATTTTGGTAAAATTGCATGGGTTGAGAGGAGTACAGATTGAATGAAAACATTTGTGGAGCCATAATGGGAAAGTAGTAATTAGCAGGTAAATTTTGAATTTTTATAATAAAAATGTTGTTTTGATTAAAATGTAAATAAATGAGGGAGTTGTTGAAAGTTAAATGAATTCGGTTGAAATGTATATAAACATTTTTTTTAAGTTGGTAGAAAATAAATGAGAGAGTAGTTGGAAATGAATTCTTTAGGCTCCCAAGACGTCTTCCACCAAACTTAAATTGAATTCAGTCATTGCAATTCGTTGACTGTCTTCCACTAATCACCACAGAGCTTTGGACTCTCTCTCCCATCGCTACATTGGCAACGGCTCTTCCTTAGCGACCCGTAGGGGGCAGTGTTCATCAACCCGCAACGAGGATGGCGAGTAGTTTTAGCAAGCCCACCCCTTGCAGTCTTATAATGGTTTTCAAATTTAAAAACATACTCTCAGAGGTTAAACTAAAAACAATATTTTGATAGTTAAAGTTAAAGTGTTAAACTAACAAAAACAAATTATAATGGTTTTACAGAACTTGGTCTATTTTTAATTATATTTTATGGTTTTACAAAAAAAAAACATATTTGACAATGACAAAATACAAGTCATTAACTTTATAAAATTAAATAAATGAGTAGCAATACAAGATCAACATTTTCTGTGGTATCATAAATTCTAGTTACATAAATAAAAATTCAAAAAAAAAAGTAATTTTAAATCATTTAATGAGAAGTAACAGCGGATAGCTTTTGAGTTGCTTTCCATTCTTGACCAGGGTTTAGTTTTACAGGCTTTCCAATTGCTGATGCCTCCACAGCAACCATACTTTTGTAGTCATCAGGTCCTAAGTCAACAATAGTCCTTGATCTCTCCTCCCATGGATTCCACACCACTAATGTACAACAAAAAGAAAATAAGTTCTAGGGTAAATTACATTTTTAGTCCCTCGGTGTAGTTGATTGTTTAAATTTTGATCTCAAAAAAATTTCTTTTGTAATTTTGATCCTTATTTTGAGGTTCTTGTAATCTTTTAGGTCTTTGGAAGTCCAAGTAAAATGATTATTTTTGGTCTATTAGTTTAGCCGATTTTTGCAATTTTTGTCCTATTATCGTTTTACTTGATGCATCGACATAAATATAAAAGTTTCAAAAACATTGAATAAGTACCAAAATTTTGGAAAAGATAACTTTTTAGGACCAAAATTGAAAAACCGAGCTATACTCAAGGACCAAAAATATAATTCACTCTAAGTTCTATGTACACAAATACTGTTTTCATTTTTGGATTTCGGATAAGAGCTAAAGAGAACTTTACAATCTAAACTAAAGGTCTTTCATAACTTTTTTTTTTTTTGCCTCATTAGTAATATCCTAAAAGTGATCAAAATATTGGATCTTCTATGCAAATAATGTTTTATAATTATACGCACAACAAACACAATATTTTGACTTTTTTTTTTTTTTTTTTGAAAAAGACCTATTATTTATTCTACCTGATGAAAATCTATAAACCAGGTTTTAGAATGTAAAAAAAAAAATTAGGTCTTACATGAAAACGGGTCAAGTCATTTTTTCTTAGAAAATAGAAATAGCCTTTTTTTTTTTTAATTAAAACCCTTCTAAATATAAGTAAACGACCATCTTGTCATTTCTAACACTAAAGTGGAAAAAATCTCACCAGCATCAGGAAGTCCATGTTTCTGAATGGAAATTGTTTGTTTCTTTTTATGATCAAGAATTGCAAGCTTTTTTTGGTGTGTTGAGATAAATCCTGTCAATCTGAGTAAATAATTAACATTAGTTTAAAGCCTAACCTAACCATGGTAAAGTAAAACAATCAAAGCGAGCGAAGAGGTAACAAACTTACCTCTGAATTAATGGTTATTGTATCTCGTGCCTCTGTAAATCTTGTCCTGTTCTGTGTATTGTCAAGATAATCAAGTTTCCCCAATCCTTCCACTCGAACTTCACTACAAATACAAATATCAAAATGTTGGCTTTAAAAGTTAACACCATTTTTTTTTATAATTACCGATTATTATATATATAATATAATATTAACAAATTTACCTGATATTTGAAACACGGAAATAGTTGTGATAAGCAAATGTAAAATTAAATTGCTTTTTATCTGTGTTGGTATTTTTTATCCGAGATGTCATCGTTAAGTCTCCTTTAAGTCCTAGAGTGATCCTTAGTCTATACTCAAACCTACAAATGAAGATATTAATAGAAAAAGTTATATATATATCAATGAGAAAGTAAAAAGCACAAAGTATATAAGATAGAAATAGAATAAAGTCGATAAACTATGTACCTGTTAGGCCATATGTTTAAATCATCTTCAGTGGGCTTAAGTAACAAATCAACAAAAACTTCATTAATGGGTTTGGATTGAAGAGGATGGGAATTGTTCTCCATGGTCCATACTCTGTTTCTAGCAAATCCATGGGATCTAAGAGGGCCAAGATTTGAAAACTGTATCAATGAAGAAGGTGAATGTGATTAAATAAATTAAAAAAAGAAAGTGAATTGAACAGTAGAAAAAGATAGATGCAATGCACATACTTGAGGAAAGATGATAGGAATCCCCCCTCGTATTGCTGTTGGAGGGCTAAAGATTGCCTGCATAAACACATGAAATTCTGGATTATTGAAGAGAAAAAATTACAAGTGTTTAATAGGAGTATGATTCATCAAAATAGGATTCCAGATAGCTGATATAGTGATATACCTTACTACTGAGAAAAAGCAACTCTTTTCCATGATCATTTTTCCAAGATGTTACATGAGCTCCATACAGATACACCTGAAATTTGCAAAATAGAAATGTTAAACACCATTAAAAGCATCGGAAATCTTCAGATATGATGAAACTTAAGGCATTAACATCACAGGAGCATAAGCCATAAGGTAAGAAATGTTGATATATCGCGAGATCCCAATTACAGAGAACAAATCTAACCTAAAAGCGAAGTTTTACAGTTTTGTACGTCTAGATCTTTTCCGTTATGAGTAAGATCGAATGAATCAGCAATGGTGTGACATAACATGATTGATAAATGATAACATCCAGCAACAGGTACAGTATATAGAGTTATATTACAATACGCGAGCAAATCAGAGAGAAATTAGGGATTTCGTCTTCTACATACCTCTACAGTACTTCCATGGATTTGACGGAGTACGAGTTTGTCTAGGCCATTGATGCCTTTAGTGATCTCAACAGATGCTAAGGCTGGTTGCAATTGCATCCATAAAACAATGGATATGGTTACATATAATAAATAGGAAATCATTGCAGAAAAGCAAATACAGATTAAGCTCGAGAAAGAGAAATACTGAAATACTAGTGCCTAATTAGTGCAACCAAAAACTTGGACTTTAATGGCGTTCACCTGTCTTCAGAAGATCCTCCGGCGACTTTAATGTGGGGCCAATTATTGACAAAACCATACAAAAAATATCATAGTCAAATCACAAAATGAATGTGAATCTGAGTAGGATATAATGATATATGATATGTTGATATGATCGAGATATTAAGAACTTCGCCTGCACTTTCCTCTTCTCTCAGGTGAAAGGTCAACTGAGCTCCCATGTTTGAATAGGTATTTTTGAAAAGGTCAATAGCATGTTTTGTCCACCAATCAGGCAAGCATAATCAATTTGTATTCTAATTGCTATCAAGCTATTAATTATTATAGTGAATATAATAATCATATATTGCTAAAAATCTAATCTCGTTTTGAAAAGGTCAACGGGGAATCAATCAACATTCTCGCCCACTTAGTTGTCTTCCTAAGATTTCGTGTTGCCACAGATCTTAAAGTATTCACATTGGTCTGAAAATCGTCCATTTGGATCATCTTTGTATATGTCCTAATCAGCTTCTACAATTATCTATGGACATGTTTGGATTAGTTTTTTTTAGTCTAAAAGATTTTTAAGAAAAATGATTATTAGTTTTTGATTTTTAGGAAAAGTTGATTGTAAAAAATGTTTGGATAAGAAAATCTGTTTTTCATAACTAAAAAAGCTTAAAAAGCTACTAAATTAGGATTTTTCAGTTTTTTAAAAGTTTTATTTTTTTCTATCTAAAAACTGTTTTAAAAAACGTTTTTTAAATACATAAATACTTTTTTAGCTTATTAGTTTTTTGAAAAGCTAAAAAGCTAATAAGTTATTTTAAAAAGTTATCCCAAACACCTACTATGTAATATAGATCTTATGTTTGTAACTTTAATTCTGTGTTTTTGGTGCTTTAAAGAAAAACTATTGTTTGTTAAATAAATAAATAAATAATAATAATAAACTCCCTTGGTGCATAATTACCGATCTATATTAACTTGAAAAAATCACAAAAATGGTTTCTATGGTATGCAAATTTTTTGGGTTTTAATCCAAACCCCGAATTTTTTGGATTCATGGTCCTTTTGGAGTGGTTTATATGTGAAAATAGTCCCTCCGAAAATTAAAATGACTATAATACCGTTAGGGTATTTATTTTTCATTTTTCTTAAAATTTAATATTTATTTATTTATTTTAACAATTAGAAAAATAATAGCGGACCCACCTCTCTCTCTCTCTCTCTCTCTCTCTCTCTCTCTCTCTCTCTCTCTCTCTCTCTCTCTCTCTCTCTCTCTCTCTCTCCAACACCCAAAAATACCTTCATAATCTCAAGAACACTCAAGAAATATTCATGAACTTAAGAATATCTTCCACAATCACTACCCTTTGACCACCGTCTGCCACCACCACCACCCTTTGACCACCTTAGTTTGTCACTACCATCGTTTGCCACCTCCATATATGGTTCCACCATTAACCATAATCCCTTCCCCTCCATCGTTCACCTCCTCCGACAACCTCTTTTTAACCATCTCCAACAACCGTTTGCCTCTGAACAGGACCATTGTTCACTTCCAACAAACACCATAGTTCACCTCCGCCAACAACAATCAACCACGACATACACCACTATTGTTTAAATCTAATTCTAACCTCAAATCAAAACCAAGAGCTTAAACTTAAAATCTAACCTGCAACTCAAATCTAAGCATGATAACTGAAATTAAAAAGAATCTACCACCTGACTTCAAATCTCACCTCGATTTACACGATAAAAATAAGAATAGGCTTATTGAATCGATTAGAATTTTGAAACCCAGATGATGAAGGTCTTATTCTCCAAGCTCATAAAAACACACATATGGTGTTGTTATCCATGAGATCGATATTCCCATATCTATTATGTTAATTGATTTGAAGATCTTGGATGTTCATGAGTAGGGAAACCCCATCAAACCTGGAAAATCTGAAAACACATATTTGGGATGTTCATGGCGGCTAGGGTTTCTCGGTGAATGTTCTCATCTGATGGTGACGCTATGTTTCAGACATACGACACAGCTAGGGCTTCCAACATTGGTGATAAAGGTGGGATCGGAGAGGAGCTCGTCTGAGGAGGAGATCAGAAATATAAGCTTATGACTGAAGATTGTCGTTGATGAGAAGAGGTGGAGAGACGGATTTCATCTTCAGATCTACCATGTTTACGAACTTTGCCACGAGTGGAACTTTGGTTCCTGGAGCCGGAAGCTTGAAGATCGAATGATCGATCGCTCTTTTCTACTTTTCTTGGGTTACTTAAAGTTGGGGTTGGGGATATTAGGAGGTCACACAAACATTAACGTGTTTGTACAAATCTTTGGTGCTTTCCTACGAGAGAAAGAGAGAAAGAGAGAGAGAGAGAGAGAGAGAGAGAGGGAGAGAGAGAGAGAGAGAAAAAAAGGGAGAGAGAGAGAGAGAGGTGGGCCTCAAATTAGGTAATTATTTTATTTTTCATTTAAATTAAATAGAAAAAGCATAAAAAAAATTAGAAGGGCATAATAGTCTTTTTAGTTTACTGAGGGACCAAAAACGCAAAGAAACTAGCTCAAAAGGACCACCAATCCAAAAAAGACGTTGGTTTGGACTAAAACCCCAAAAATTTGCATACCACAGGGTCCATTTTTTCAATTTTGTCTATTAACTTTAGGTTATTAATTTCAAGAAAAAAAAACTGCAAAAATGGTCCCTGCGGTATGCAATTTTTTGGGGTTTTAGTCTAAACCACGATTTTTTGGATTGGTGGTCCTTTTGAGCTACTTTGCTTGTGGTTTTAGTCCCCTGCTAAATTGAAATGACTAATATTCCCTCCTCATACTTTGTTAATCTTTTTTCTATTTAATTTAATGTGTTATTAAATTAAAATATAAGGCTCACACCTCTCTCTCTCTCCTGTACGAAACCATTTCCCAGATCATATTCTCCAACCAAAGAACATGATTGCAGCCCCAAAACATTAATTATGTTCATAAACCAAAAATGATGAACGCCCCAATCAAATTGATTAGATCAATCCAAGATTTTTAACTCGGTACTCGACATAGTCCCTAACCAAAGAATTGCTCATGGATAATACCTTACCCCCTACAAACCAACTTCTAGTTCTTAACAACAAACCCCTTTATAGCTTTGAATTCGAAGTTTCACCGACTCAATGGACTCTAACTTCAGTACCCTCATTAGAACCTTGGAACCCAACATAACCAATTAAACCATAATCAGATCTTCGTTATGCACAGATAACGAGCCAAAAAGGATTCCTCACAAAGTGGCCTAACAACAATAACACCATCAGACGACATCAAAGGAGGTAGAATCGAAATCATAGACCTGTTCTTCCTCATCCAATACTCGTTTTAGAAGGGATCGATGTGTTTCTCATGTACTTCATTCTCTCATACCAGATCAATGTGTTTATCAGATTCCAGCAAATAACCTAAACATGTGTAACCTTCCTTATTCCCTCTATTAGACCACCACCATTGTTGTCATCACACATTGTTAATATGTTTCTCACCCTGGCACACAAATTCCTTATGGGATTCTTTGGAAAACTACACATGAACCAGATCTTGAAGCTTTAGCTTCATTATTTGGCGAATAAACCAGATCTTGAACTCATCACTGCTTGTGGCACCGGAGCCGATGAATCAAATCCAAAACTGGTGGGTTTTCTCCCCGGAGAAGATGGTTAGGTTACCTGGAATGGGCTCGAGTTCTGCCAGATCTGGTGGCTTAACGGAGAAGATGGGTAGGTTACCTGTATGTAGGTTCTTTGAAGTGTTCTGTGCATGTGTTTTAATTTCCAGGAATAAATTTGAGTCGGGAGGAGGAAGAAAATAGGATATGAAAGAGAGAGAGAGAGAGAGAGAGAGAGAGAGGACCCTTATTTTTATTTTTTATATATAAATGGTTATAGGAAAAAATGAAAAATGAAAAATAAATATAATAAGGCCAATTTTGTCTTTTCAGTTTACCGAATGACCAAAATCACAAGAAAACTACCTCAAAAGGACCATCAATCCAAAAAACATGTGGTTTGGACTAAAACCCCAAAAACTTGTATACCACAGGAACCATTTTTTCAATTTTGTCTAATTTTAATGATATGATTCTTTCATTTAGACTAGAGCGAGTGGTAGTGTGTATAGCTATAGTGCAACATTAATTTTCTATGTCATGTAAGCATAACATAGTGCTAGGAAGTGTTAGTGTGTTAATATGTATTTGGAATAAAAAAATAAAACATATTAAATAATAAAATTAGCCAATCACAAACAACCTGCACTCTCACTGCTTTCTCATCTCGCTAAGTTGTCGGTGAGTGGACCTTGGCTCACCCCTTTAGCTCCTAAGGGCGGTGTTCAAGGCATGCTAAGAGCTTGACGCATCCACTCTCTATAGTCTTATCAAATATCACCCCAACAAAACAGAATAGTCTTACCAAATATCATCCCAACACAAAATAGAAATATACTTCAATTCCTCATCTTAATCCATTCCATCATCTTTATCTTTATGTTTCTTTGAATCAATCATGAATTCTTAAAATAGAGGTGCTATACTACATTTTGTAGAAGAGGGGTGTAGCATGTTAATGACGTTCGGGAGTATATGCCTTTACATCTTTACAATATGCGTACTTTTGAATTTTTATTTAGGTATAACCTATTATGTGTCATTCAAATAAGGAAGTTTTAGGGACATATATTGAAAGAGTCGATAGGGGAACGCAACATAATACATTAGGGAAAATAAATCTTCCACAATATGAAAAACTCACTTAAAGTTCACATTTCCTATTCTCAAACTTGGTGTGTGAAGTGACATGCATTAGAACTGTCGAAGCCTACAAATGAAAATTCATTTTCAAGACTCCTAGTGTAATGTTACAACCCGGAGAAGGAAAATCTAGGCATTGCGATCCATATTGAGATGGAAGACCAACACCTATTTCAACTCTTCTTTGTCGTCATTGGTTGTGCGATAAGTTATAATTATCATGACCACATTCTAATGACATTTTGCTACTATTAAATATTAACACCATTATAATATGTAGACTTGTACATTCAAATAACACAACTATAATTTGTAGATTCGTACATTTAAAAACCATTTGTACCCCTGGTCATAACAATAATGCTCACTTAGGCACCATGTCCCTTGTGATTTCTATATATAGACAATGTAACACCCCATTTTCATAATAATTTTTTTCATTTAAAATTAAAGTAAAATTTCATATATTCAAAATCCAAGTTAAGAAAAACCCTTTGTTCCAAAGTGCATTGGTTAAAAATCAGAGTAATATAGTAAATGTGGAATCTTCATTGCTGTTAATGAATATGTACAATCATGTCTTCGCTTTCCCACGATAACCAATGAATCCTTAAAAGCAATAACAATTGGGTAAGCACGAAGCTTAGTGAGTTCCCCCGAAA